CGGTTGTTCCCCAGCCACAGGCAGCGCAGTTCCGTCAGCTGGACAATAGTGTCCGGCAGTTTGGTCAGTTGGTTTATGAATAACAGCAGTGTCTCCAGCTTCTTCAATTTGTTGATCTTCTTTGGCAGCATCTGAAGGATCGCACAGGAGAGGGAGGGGGAGAAGGAGGGGGAGGGGGAGAAGGAGAGAAGGAGGGAGAGAGAGAGAGAGGGGGGGGAGAAGAATGGAATTCAAATGAGTGTTCACATCCAATGTAGCCTTTATTTATTTGTGTATCTCTCGCTATGTATAGTATCAACATTATAGTAAAAATAGGTGTTATCATACTGTGTCAAAGTTGCTTGAAAACAGAGAACAATTTTCAGTCACTAAGATCAAGAATCTTCGCGACCCGCCATGGCCATAATACCTGCTATGCGTGAAATATCCCGGAGGTCAAAGGTGTTGGTGTTTACGCGCGGTGCGCGTTTTGGACCATTAAATTATGTTTCATTTTGATTGGTCAGATCCAGCTTCACTTCGGAATGTATAAAAAAAGACGATCCAAGGTTTCATTCACTTGTCCTTTTGAGGATCAACATTTTTAATGTGGTAAATGGCACTCCCAAACTTGTATAAACGCAGAGGGAAAATGTAAACTGATCCTTGTTACAAGTCCTGATCCTGTGTAAACTGGTAGACCGTCAACAAGACCAGTTATCAGACCGATTCAGCGGTAGACCGTTATGTAGACCAGGAACATGGCAGTAGACCGTCAACTTAAGCAGTACAACGCCCTCCCCCCCAAAGACCAAAGAAAAAAAACCTTGAAAAAAAGCCCAACCAAACAAATCCAACAACAACAACAACAACAATAAAACCCCAATGACGTCAAGTAAGCTTAACAGTAAAAACAGGTGACGTCAAAAAGAATTTTGTGAGGTCTTGACAGAGATTTGGGACTTTCAATATAGGTCTACAAACAAAACACCACCACCACTACCACCGCCACATCAATTGCCACCCCCCCCCCC